TCCATCCATCCATCCATCCATCCATCTATCCATCCATCCATCCATCCATCCATTCGCTTATGAATTCACACTGTCTATGGAGCACAGGTCATGTTCCAGGCACGGCTCTCGGCCCTGCAGTGACCCAGACAGAGGGCTTTCCTGCTGGGGGGAGGGGGGACCAATAACTAAGCGAACAATCCCCAATAGGGGGCTGAGGTCGTGCTGGGAGGCGTGATCAGGGAAAGCTTCCGGGAGGCGGTGGCCTTGAAGGCCGAGAAGGGGCATTGCCTGCAGGTGGGGGCCGGCCCCGCAGGGTGGATGCGGCTGATTTCGTCTCGCCGTCCGGATTCCAGGGCGGATGCGATGACGCTGCGCCGTTGAGAACAACATGGGAGGGACCGGGCGGCGCCTGACTACAGCGGCCGAAATAGCTCAGTTGGGAGAGCGTTAGACTGAAGATCTAAAGGTCCCTGGTTCGATCCCGGGTTTCGGCAGCTCTCCTTTTCTTTTTTTCTTTCTTTTCCCCCCTAGCGCGGTGGAAATAAGCGAGTGGAGAGAATAAAGGGGGATTCGCTTTTCTTGTTTGAACAGCTCCGAGTTTCCCCCGGGAGCCCGAGCGGCTGGAAACCTCTCGGTGCGTCCCGTCTGGGGAAATCCAACAGGAGCAAGCGTTTCCTCGACCCTCATTTATTTTATGTCGTGAAAGCTGATGAACTGCCCCGTGTCTGTCGGCTGCTCCTCCATTCCCGCCGCCTGAGCTCATTTCTGCTGCGGGCGCGGGCGCAGCTACATCAGGCGCGCGGAGCTGCGGGGGAAGATAAGGCGGGCCGACCTCCGGGGCATGTGAACAGCTGAACTCCTTGAAGGAGAGATTTTAAAATAAAAAGTTGGAGATGCCGGGGATCGAACCCGGGGCCTCATACATGCAAAGCATGCGCTCTACCACTGAGCTACATCCCCCGCCCTCCGGGCCCCGCGGATGCAGGAAGTGGCGGCCTTTCTCCACCTGCACGTGTTCCTTCCTTTCGGGGTGCTCAGCGCCTCCGAGGACCGGAGCAGGTCCCTCCGCGCAGGGGAGAAGCCCGCCCGCCCCCCGACGCAGGCGGAGACCGCGGGGAGCGATGCGCGAGGCAGCGGAAGAAGGCGGTTTCTATAGGGACAGGTGTGGAGGGGCTCTAGCATGGCTCGTCCTCGTTAGTATAGTGGTGAGTATCCCCGCCTGTCACGCGGGAGACCGGGGTTCGATTCCCCGACGGGGAGGCTGTGTATCTTTTACCGGGTTGTTTGGTTTTGTAGGAGCAACGTTCCATAATAGGCCTGTTTGCCTTGTATGTATAGATGCGTAATTCACGGACGCAGGCAAGAGGGGTGGTGAGGGCCTGGGACCGGGCGACTGGGAGGTTGGGGACGGGGGGCGTCAAGGGGGTAAAAAAGGGGAAATATGTAATACTTTCAACAATAACGATTACGATTATATAAATAAATAAGTAAACAAATACATAAAATAAATGAAAACATATCCTTGGGTGAGGATTAAAAGGAAAATAGTATGGAATGGAGTACCAGAGCCTGTCCTGTACAGTAAGGATAGTTCTGTTTTGTGAAACAGAAAACAAACGAAGAACAGGCCTGTGTGCACCCGGATGGTGTCACCCGAGCAGAGGGGGCTGGAGGGGGAAGAGGTCGGGGTTCAGAGGCGTGGTGACGGAAGGGGACCAGCCTTCTGCTGGTGCGCACACAGTGGAGTAGGCAGAGCTTTATATACTGTTATTCACCAGCGCTCCCCTAGAGATTTGATTTTTTTTTTAAAATTCATTCCTGCACCTCCCCCAAAAACAAACAAACAAAAAGACGAGGCCTCTTCGCTTTTGCTCCTGGTTCCAGCATCGGCTAGAACTCCGGCTGTGAGGTTATGAGAAACAGGCCTCTTTGGGAGAAAAAAACATCGATTTGTTGTTCCCCTTACTGTGTTTTTTTAAGACTTATCTTTCTTGATTAAAATATCACAGATGCCCCCCCTTTTCATTTTCCCATTGACCCCCCCCCCCCTGCCCCCCCCCCCAGGCCTTCACCACACCATTGTCGGTGTCTACGGGTTCTGCATATATGCAAACAGGGCCTTTATTAACCTCTCCCACCCACGCCTTCTCTCTGAGACTGGCCCACCTGTCCCCTGCTTCTGTGCGTCTGGGTCTGTTTTATTCCTCAGTTTGTATTCATGTGTTCACTGGTGGTTTCTTGCCTGTGCCCTGACTGGGGATGGAGCCTGCAGCCTTGGTGCATTACGCATTTAAATGTATAGAATTTACTTAGAAAAAAAAAGGGCACTGCACATGTAAATGTATAAAATTTATTCAGGAAAAAAGGTTTTAAGACGAGACTCTAGCAGAGAATTCCAGAAAGCAGCAGTACAGGGCTGGGGGATGTAGCTCAGTGGTAGAGCGCATGCTTTGCATGTATGAGGCCCCGGGTTCGATCCCCGGCATCTCCATTACATTATTTTTCTCATTCTTCTTCTGTTCATCCTTAAAGCGCCTACCCCGATGCGGCCATAACAGGTGTAGCTCCTCCTGCCACCACCTGGAGGTGCGGTTTCCCCCACAGTGGAGATCCGTCCTTCCTCAAGCCTGGAACGTTCCAGAGGTGCTTTTGCTGGAGGAGGCGAACGGGAGCAACTCGCAGGACAACGTGGAGAAGGCAGAACAGGCGTGATGGTGGGAACCACAGCGACCCTGGGCAGAGTGTCCCCTTGGGCAGTGACAGCGCCTGCAGAGAGGCCTGCGGGGTGGGGCTGATTCCCGCCGCCGGGGTGATGTGTAGTCCGTGGTCAGAGGTCTGTGCCGGCCTTGCCCTTCGCCCTCTGTGCTGCCAGCAACAGCCTTTTTCAGAGGGAGCCGCCCAAAGGAGACTGGCTTTCCCAGCAGAGGGCTTGCTCCCTGCTTCATCAGTAACAGGACCAGAATGAATGAATGAATGAGTGAATGAATGAAGTGCATGAACTCTTTATACGTGTACACTGCATTTAATCACTAAAAATGAAAGCCATTTTTCATTAAATGAAGGGGTCCTGTTGCATCCTACGAGTCCAGTTCTTTGTCTGCAGTAATAATGGATCCTTGTCCATCAATCTGTCTCATTTGACTCCACACTTGTGTGTTTTTTTAATATATTTTTATTGATTTCAGAGGGGAAGGAAGAGGGAAAGAAATAGAAACATCGATGATCAGAGAGAATCATTGATCAGCTGCTCCCTGCACGCCCCCCACTGGGGATTGAGCCCGAGATCCGGGCCTGTGCCCTGACCGGGAACGGAACTGTGACTCCTGGTTCATAGGTAGATGCTCAACCCCTGAGCCACACCGGCCAGGCCAGCTCACATTTTAAAACATCCCACCCACGCTCCAAAAAATTAAAAACATCCCACCTTAGATCTGGAGAGACGCTGCAAAGCCTTCATTTCTGAGATGAAACTGAAATTCCTGAAGTGACTCACCCTTGGGCGGTGGCTGGTGGCGTAGGGGTGGCAGCTCCCGTTTGTAAACAAGCAAAGGTTGGAGTTAAATTGATGAGGCCTCGCGTGAAACTAATGACAGGCTTCTGCTTTACTTTGTAGCTGGCCATTACGTATTTCTAATCGTGTCACCGGGAACCCCCGGGTGGGCTCGGGCTGCCTGTCGCTGTGTCCGGCCACGAAGGCAGGTTGAATCCTATGAGGCGCTTATTGAGGAGGCCCGCCCACCAAGAAGACAGGGCGCTTTCAGGCATCAAAACCTGCCTTTCAGCAGGTGCAGGGGGCGGGACTGGAAAGGGGAAGCGGCAGGGGTGAGGCAGCCCTGGGGGTCTGCAGATGTCAGCTATTGTCTGGCCACGAGATGATGTGGGTGAGATGATGGTGAGGAGATGATGTGGGGGAGATGCTGGTGAGGAGATGATCGGGAGGAGATGATGTGGGGGAGATGCTGGTGAGGAGATGATCGGGAGGAGATGATGTGGGGGAGATGCTGGTGAGGAGATGATCGGGAGGAGATGATGTGGGGGAGATGCTGGTGAGGAGATGATCGGGAGGAGATGATGTGGGGGAGATGCTGGTGAGGAGATGATCGGGAGGAGATGATGTGGGGGAGATGCTGGTGAGGAGATGATCGGGAGGAGATGATGTGGGGGAGATGCTGGTGAGGAGATGATCGGGAGGAGATGATGTGGGGGAGATGCTGGTGAGGAGATGATCGGGAGGAGATGATGTGGGGGAGATGCTGGTGAGGAGATGATCGGGAGGAGATGATGTGGGGGAGATGCTGGTGAGGAGATGATCGGGAGGAGATGATGTGGGGGAGATGCTGGTGAGGAGATGATCGGGAGGAGATGATGTGGGGGAGATGCTGGTGAGGAGATGATCGGGAGGAGATGATGTGGGGGAGATGCTGGTGAGGAGATGATCGGGAGGAGATGATGTGGGGGAGATGCTGGTGAGGAGATGATCGGGAGGAGATGATGTGGGGGAGATGCTGGTGAGGAGATGATCGGGAGGAGATGATGTGGGGGAGATGCTGGTGAGGAGATGATCGGGAGGAGATGATGTGGGGGAGATGCTGGTGAGGAGATGATCGGGAGGAGATGATGTGGGGGAGATGCTGGTGAGGAGATGATCGGGAGGAGATGATGTGGGGGAGATGCTGGTGAGGAGATGATCGGGAGGAGATGATGTGGGGGAGATGCTGGTGAGGAGATGATCGGGAGGAGATGATGTGGGGGAGATGCTGGTGAGGAGATGATCGGGAGGAGATGATGTGGGGGAGATGCTGGTGAGGAGATGATCGGGAGGAGATGATGTGGGGGAGATGCTGGTGAGGAGATGATCGGGAGGAGATGATGTGGGGGAGATGCTGGTGAGGAGATGATCGGGAGGAGATGATGTGGGGGAGATGCTGGTGAGGAGATGATCGGGAGGAGATGATGTGGGGGAGATGCTGGTGAGGAGATGATCGGGAGGAGATGATGTGGGGGAGATGCTGGTGAGGAGATGATCGGGAGGAGATGATGTGGGGGAGATGCTGGTGAGGAGATGATCGGGAGGAGATGATGTGGGGGAGATGCTGGTGAGGAGATGATCGGGAGGAGATGATGTGGGGGAGATGCTGGTGAGGAGATGATCGGGAGGAGATGATGTGGGGGAGATGCTGGTGAGGAGATGATCGGGAGGAGATGATGTGGGGGAGATGCTGGTGAGGAGATGATCGGGAGGAGATGATGTGGGGGAGATGCTGGTGAGGAGATGATCGGGAGGAGATGATGTGGGGGAGATGCTGGTGAGGAGATGATCGGGAGGAGATGATGTGGGGGAGATGATGGTGAGGAGATGATCGGGAGGAGATGATGTGGGGGAGATGCTGGTGAGGAGATGATCGGGAGGAGATGATGTGGGGGAGATGCTGGTGAGGAGATGATCGGGAGGAGATGATGTGGGGGAGATGCTGGTGAGGAGATGATCGGGAGGAGATGATGTGGGGGAGATGCTGGTGAGGAGATGATCGTGCGGCGCTGATGGTGAGGAGATGATGTTTTGACTCCTGGGGGGTCAGTCCGACCCTGCTTATCGGTTCTGTTTGCTGGATTCACAGCGGGGTCATCTCCTCAATCGCTCCGCACAGGCCTTGAAAGGAAAACTTAAGAAAAACCTCACCCCTTCTTCTCATATGAGAAACTTAACCCCCGGTTCATGTAAGTATATGTGTCCTAAGATTTAAAATAGTAGGATTATTTTTTCAAATTAATTCAGGTGCTCTATCAGATAATAGGTTCCCCCCCCATCAATACACAATGACGGGGGGGGGGGGTGGGGGGGGGGGGGGGGGGGAGGGCCGGGAATACCCTAAAGAGAGAAAAAAAAATCACATCAGGCCTGTGCTGGGAAACGGAGCCTCCTAGAAAAGTTGTTGTGAATCTTGGGAAACAATCGTGTCTAACACCATTTTATTTTACATACAAAAACATCAACAGCAACACCAAACCCCTGCGATGAGGTCCCTGGAGACGTCAGCTTCATACCAGAGACAGGAAGTGGGGTGGTGGCTGCCCTGGGCGGGAGGATGGGGCAACGGAGAGTTGGCTAATGGGCCAGAGGTCAGTTTTGCAAGACGAACACGGGTGTGGAGGTGGCTGCGTAACAGTGTGGATGTGGAAGGTAGAATGTGCCGCCCCCAAATAGGCCACTTTGTTGTTGTTTTTAATGCTTTTATTGATTTGAGAGAGAGAGGAGGGGACAAGGAGAGGGAGAGAGAGAGAGTTCAAACCCACACAACCCGGGCATGTGCCCTGCCCGACCACCGGGAAGCCAACCACACACTTTCTAGTTGCTGGGGCGACTCAACCAACTGAACCACTTGCATATAATTTTGAGCTGAAGGCACTTGGAAAACAGCAAACGCGGGAGAGTCGTTCCCCGGGTCCCCTTAGCTGCCCGACAGTCTCCCCCAGGAGCTGAGAGGCGTGAGGTCCCCTCGGGGGTTCACCGACCAGCGGACTCCTGTCGCAGGACTGAGGCTAGGAGAGGACACCCCACTTGGTCACGAGCGATCGTGTCTCCCACCCGTCCTCTTCCCCACGTGTCTTTCCTACAATCAGTCACTCTCTCCTAAGAAGGCTCCTTGCTCTCCCCTCTCCCTGTGGTGTTTAGGCCTCAGATCTAAGTCGGCTGCTCTGAGTGACTCCTGGTCCCAGGGTAGCCCCCAAGGAGACGGCATTGGAGTCAGTGACCACCTGGTTTTCCTCCCGTCACTCTCCTTCAATGCCAGGGTCTCTAAGAACCCCCACCCCCGACACACTGGACACGCTGCGCTGTGCTCGTAAAACAGGGTCAGCCGGGCCAGTGTGGCTCAGGGGTCGGGCATCGACCTCGAACCCGGGGGGGTCGCGGTTCCATTCGGGGCAGGGCAGGGTGGGGCGGCCGGTCGGTGATTCTCACTCATCGTTGCTATTGCTGTCTCTCTCTCTTCCTCTCTGAAATCAATCTATATATATATATAACTTAAATGCTTAATGAGGATGGTTCAGTTTTGTTATGTCTGTGTTGCCATGGTGATTTCTAAAAGCCCCAGGAGGTTAGGGGGTGGGACCGGCTGTTTTTAAGCGGGAGCGGTTGTGTTCTGCTCGTGATGCAAATGTTCAGACGCGGACAGAACAGCAGGGCCCTGGCCGCTGTGTTCTGAGTGGGGTTCCTTTTTCGTGGTATTTTCCGCCCCCCCCCGCCCCCCACAAGAGGC